AACTAATATTTCTATTTCGCTCTATTCTATTGCAAATTTGTATTTCCATATCGTTTTTTTCTCCCCCTTCACCTCAGACCGAAACCCACTTTCCACAGTTGCCAACCCATACATATTATGAAACACCGATTACCTAGCTTGGTGAAAGAAATACTCTCAAAACTGACATTTTATTTAGATGTAAAATTTAAATTAATTACCTCTTTTTGAAACTTTATATTTTCCCAACATTCGTTTTCTTGTTGCGATTTGGTTCAATACTTCAATTTCAAAATGCAGTTGAAAACTTCATTCGAAATTGATCCCACCTCTCCATCGGCCGAAAAAAAAAATGGCATCACTCACTCTAGACATTCAAAAACTTCTGATAACTGCAAAGAGAAGAAACTAACTGACGGTGAAAAGTATCGATTAACGAGATTCTCACTGTTCCCACCCACATTACCATGCAGGCTGGTTCGCTGGTGCAATTTTGTTAACACCCACTGAACTATATTGTCTACCATCTCACGATAGAGGAAGGAGGGAGGAGAGAGGAGCTCTCGAACGATTCCAGAGTCTGGCAAAGTTCCTGAGCCTCTCTCCAGAAAGATAGAAGAGGGAAACTTTATGAATGATTCCAGTTAATCTAATCTGGCTGAAAGTTTGATGAGCCCAGCTTCTCGGTTGATAGGCTTTATTTCGGTTCGTAACTCGTCCATTCAAATGAGGATCCGGGCAAGGCCAAGGAATTAAAGGTGTAACTAGGTCGACCACATTCCTGCATCAGTATAAATGCTCGCCGCTGTGCTTAGAGCTTCGCGAGACTACAAATATATATAGTCTTGGTGTTGTCTTGTCTTGGTAGCAAGACCAAGACCGAGAAGTAATAAATCTTCTCAAGACCAAGACCAAGACTTGACGTTCAAGACCAATACCAAGACCAAGTCTCTCTCTCGAGACTCTCGTCTTGGTCTTGGAAAGAAAAATCGACTCAATATTTATGAAAATATGCAAATTCCCATATCTACTTTTAACGTCTTTTAATTAAATCAATTCATCAAATTAATTTTTTTTTTCAAATTCACGAGAAGGTATTATAGGTTCTCAAAAATATAACATAGTGTAGATAACATTTATTTACACGGAACACAGAAAATACAAAAACAAATCTAGGAACAAACACAAAATACTAATATTCTTTTCCTATCTATCGAGATTACAATGGTGTTATTTTTAAATAAGATCATTTTATTTTATGAAAATTTTCGGGGATAATACCACGAGAGCTTCAAAATTACCGAAAATTTTTCACGATTGCGTGTTTTCTATAATTTCACGAGTCCGTAGGATTTTGCAGAGAAAACACGCATGAGTGAAAAATTATCTGGTTCATTTTAAAGCTCAAGTGGTATTTAGAGGATTATTTCACGTATGAGAATGCAAAAATATGGAAATAAATATGTATTAAACGATTTGAACATCTTAACAATCAATACAAATAAATGGTTGCTATCAGGAACCGTTTGTTTGTATCAAAAATTAGCATGACAACCATGTATAAAATAACATGGGAGAATTATCGCTGTAATTCTCTTTAGTTAAACAAATGGAAAAGAGAATTTTCGCTGTAATTCTGAAAATCGTCACTTGTCTTATGTATGTTCTTATTATAAGTTTTAGGATTAACCTAAAATAGGACAGGTACTGTAAACCGAGAAAATAGGCCAATTTCAAGGGTAAGCAACGCTTTTGATTGTGTATTGAATTTATTAAACTGATAAACATCATGGTTAAATCCTGAACGGAGCGAATCAAGCAAGATAAACAAAACCATTTTAATATTCAGTGATTTTTTGTTATTTTCCCTTTACAGCTGATTTTTGACATTTAGAATTTTTAGTTCTTTTCAGATTGTGGTGCGATCACGAGTTCTCCAATCCTAGGGGATTTCAGTTAAAGATGATCGCCTTTAAACCTTCCTTTCTTTGGTGTTGATTTGATTCGTTGTATGCTTCAGGCTGTTTCCTGTTTTGAAATTTCTTTCGCTTAGAAACCGACTTACTGCAGGGTTGAAAACAGGTGGCGCCTCTATTTAGACCCACCGTACTCACCGGAATTTTGTAGGCTAATCGGAACTTCCCTATAAGTCGGATTTCTTCTTTAAGCCACCTTCAAGAGTCATATCCCTCCCCTCACTCTTTTCTCCCTTAGCTTTCCCATGACGCTTTAGACTCGTAACAAATTGGCGCCCAACGTGGGGCCCGAAGTGGCACAGCCATTGAATCGCAGACACGAGCTGGCGTTCACCAGGAACACCAAAGCTTTCTTGACACCGACCCCTATGTGAACCCTGTCATCAGCCGTGTCACGGAAACAAACCGCGTGTCTGAAGAGTTTGCCACGTCGCATGACTTGATTTCGTTCGATGACGAAAATCCTAACGCTTCGGAACCCCTCCGATAAACTACATCATCAAGACTGAACATTCCGCCTTCAGTCGAACCTCCTCCACAAGTCATGTTAGACCCGTTATGTGAATTTCCACCCCGTTGAATTATCCAGGCGCCCCGTTACACAAATTTCGATCAAACCTTCACAGCTGGAAATATTTCGAGACTACCTACCCGACCCACCCAGTCATCGCGTGAGAGTCGCAGTTCCTGTTTCCTCAGCCACTGGTGCAAGCGAGCCTCGGTTTCGAGAGGCTGGAAATATTGGGCATTATGCTCCTGTTGAATCTAGGGTACGCACCAACCGCAGCTATTTGGATCAGTGTAGATCCTCTACTGCGGACGAGCCGGACGATCAAACTGACGTGCCGCTCTATTATCAACAGTTTCTTAGTGATCAGGCTTCACCACGTATGTTAGACAGCCGCCTCCTTCAGTTGTTTCCAGAGTTGTTGCCAGTAATTCCCAACCTCCATCAGAACCGGTACCCACGTCAGAAAGGCAATCGCAGGTCCATTTTGGTACAACTTAATTCCACCCGTCAGACTGAAACTTTAAGTCATTCGAATCCCGAGGTCGATTTTGCCGTGGTGGAAACTTCAATCAGTAGTCGTTGATAACTCCCTACCACCATAAGTCGCAGAATGTATCCTCTTGGGGTATTAAATAAGACGGCCACACAAGCGTGACCGATTTTCTCGAGCGCATCGAGGAACTTCGTGTTTCCCGAGGGGTGACGTCAGAGCATCTTCTCCGATCCGTTCCAGAACTTTTCACAGGAGACGCGCTTTTGTGGTACCGCACTAGTCGTTTCACCAGGAGGAGGTTTCAGCAGGACCTTGTTCGTCAATTAAGGGATGCGTTCCAGTCCTTTGATTACGAATATGGACTTTGGGATGAAATTCACCGACGTACCTAGGGTGCTTAAGAACGTGTGATTGGTTTTGTTGTAGCTATGGAGGCACTCTTTCGTAAAATACCCACTCCACCTCCCGAGAGTACTCGGCTCCAAGTAATTCGTCGAAATCTTCTTCCACACATTCAGCGACGTTTGTCAACTGAACTTCCCAGATGCATTACAGTCGATTCGCTCTCTTCTGTGTACGAGTACCTTGTGAGAGATTTAAATACCAGAGAAGATCTACAAGTGGCATATCTATTCCATCTTGGTCGTCAACACCGCAGAAACTTCTTGTGAAAAAAACAAAAAAAAAATATGATCCTCTAATCAAGAAAGCAGATCTTATAGTTACTAATCCTGCTGCTGATATGCGCTAGGATGATGAGAAAGAAGCTACCATTTCAGTGAAACATTTAGCAGCATGGGAAGACGCCAGTCTTCTGAATGATTCGAACAGCTCAACCTCTTTTGAAATCAGTGAAGATAATGATCCAAATCAACTCAACGCAGCGGATAACTCTTCTGATTCTGCAGCAGATGAAGCTAAAACAGAAACACTTCAAAGACCCAAAAAAAAAATAAAAAATTGAAGATTACCAGAAAACCCAATTCCGGGCGAAGGCGAATGTTATATCTAGCTTCTTAAACATTGGGTTCTAAATAAATTTGCCACACAATATATTATATAACAGGAACCTTAAATAGAAAAGGTGCCATTCCAACTTTATTTTTTTCCAGTTTTGTCCAATCCTTGAACGACAGAACCAAATACGTAATGCTACTAGAATATATTTTGAACTCTGTATGTTTAGCAACAGGCTTGATTCAACTTATAGTGGTAAATTTGGAGTTGACACTCAAGACGAATAAAACATCTAACAAAATTGTCAACATTTTAGGCAGACTCAGCTTCAGGCTTACTATCCTTGATCTGCATCATTGTTTTAGTAGTAACGCAAATATTTATCCTGGCATGGAGTGCTAATGAAATTGGTGTTGCTGTAAGTATACTGACTCAATTGTAAATTAGAATACAATGAATCAAAACCTATGTTAGAAGAATTATTCTGTAGAGTTTGGGCGTGGCAGACGCCATATTCGCTAGTAATTGGACAGAGCACAGCAACGAAGTGAAAAAACTACTTTTAATAATGATTATGAGGGCTCAAGTTCCTATTGGGCTTACTGCTGGTCCGTTTTTTCAAATGAGAACCCATACAGCTTTAACGGTACTTATGTAAATTTATATCAACTTTATTATGTATATTTTTTTTATTTTAGACTGTCAAGATTGCATATTCTTATGTATCGTTTATGGCTCAGTCCTTTCGCTGATCGGATAGATAAAAAGAACATAATAATTGCTATTAGTATAAACTTAGACAGCATGCATATTAACACTATTCACTTGTAATGTTATTTATTCAGCAAGCTGCAAGATACCAAGACTCAAGACACAAAAATATAGGTAGATTCATGTAAAATAAAGAATAATACCACTAAAATTATCTCTTATATTTTTAGCCCTACAAAATTGCAAATCCCTTCACAACAAAACGTACGTACTTACGAAAAGTAAAGCTGATCAGCCAAGAAACACCTCCATAGATTAAATCCAATTAGTTATATCATCTAAAATCCACTTAAAAATCTTTAACGACGCTTTTGTTGAAACCTTACAAAAAAATCTATAAAAGTGTACAGTGTCGCGAATTTAATCCACTTCTGACGGAAGTAACAAACTGTGCTTTTTCAAGTAATCAGCAGGTAAGAATTTATTTTGTCAATGTTACAATACGTCCTTAGGTACTTAGCATTGGTCGTGGAAAAACTGCAGAAATTATGTCGAACCAATGATTAATATTTTGAAATTATTTCTTCTCTTAATCATCAAAATGAAACAATAATATTACATTATTTACTATTTTTGGTAGTTATGTAATTATGAACATATGGCGTCCATATTTCTCAAACAGGATATTTTGAAAACAAATCTGGCACTTCTATATTACGTCCGCATATTTCACAGAATTTTAAACTCCTGCCAAAGGCCTTGGCTCTTTATTAAATTAATAAATTTTAAGATTTCGATTTGCAAACATCAAATAATCAAATTTTTACTTGGTGAAAAAATAATTATTGTTTTATTATTTTTTCTCTAGTTTAGCTCTAACGGAACGACCCTTCGTTCATTCTTCTTCTCACCAATGGTGGTTGCAGTTAAAGTATTCAAGAAGACCACCCCTAATGGTAAAGCCACCGTCTACTTGGGCAAACGAGATTTCATCGATCATCTTGATCACACCGACCCCATAGATGGAGTCGTTGTACTTGAGGATGGATACTTGCAGGTAAGATACACTTCTATTTTATTTTGAAATATGTATTTACAAGCTAAATTATGCATTCATTCAATATCAAACTGGATAAAATCAGAGAAAAATATTTATAGGTACAATAAAATCTTTCTGATTCGAGATTATATAAAATCATAAATTCTATCATTTTAACTGAGGTTGCCGATACTTGATTTTCTGCTATATGTACAGGGTGTCCGGAATAACCCAAAGTACATGGGGATTTTGGAAACCATTGAAGATACAGGGTAAACCAAATGGGGAAAAGGTTGCGTAATCAAGTGCCTACAAATACTCTGTCATCAAGTTCTCGGAATAGCAACGGATATACAGGGCAAAAAAGAAAAAAGTGCGTTTTATGTAGGTACTTAATCCTTTATATCTTGGTTTATTATAACATATATAATGTGTCTAAGATAAGGAATGCCAGTATAGTATGGGTATCTCGGAAACAGTGTAAGATACGACGTTGCTCAAATTAGAAAAAAGTTGCGCAATTTTGTACTAATTAAAATACCGCTCTGATATTTTAAAAATTCCGAGTGATACCGGAGATATCCGGGAAAACCCGAAATTCGCCTAAAACGATTTTATTTTTTCCTGACTTTATTTGAAAAGACATTTCAAAATCCATGGCACCTCATCATTGCCACTTTTCCTCTACAATATGGCATTATCAAATTTGTAATCCGAATTTCGTCTTTAGGGCACCTTATCATCAGATCCTTATTATACTGGCCCTCCTTATCTTGGATACATTGTATAATCAAAAAATTTCCAGGTTAGGTGTAAGACTAAATATAATGTATGTACAGGGTGCTGCAATTTGGAGTGTTTTAACAGGAAAAAACATGCTTCCAGACCAGATAGAGGAAAATGGACTTGGAAGACATGAGATCGATTTTCGAGAAACGTCGATTGTCAAAAACCGTTTCACGATATCTTCAATGGTACCATTGATACAGGGCGATTTTTGATTTTCCCCTATTATGAAAAATAGCTAAGTATATGTTTTTTATTTATAATTTTTTTTTTATTTCTGTAAAAACAATTTGGAGATACTTTTTTGAGCACAATCCAGTGGCGGACTCAGTTTTTTTTCTATTTCGCTCCGATTTCGAGATATCGACCAAAGTCCGATATTTTTAAATGAAACACCCCATATATTAATAGCTCATTGGATAGCTCTGTTTTTGCTGATTTCAATGATATAAAGTTCCATAGGTTTATCTCTTACAGTTTTCGAGAATTATATCTTATATCTGTTTTTGGCATAAGGACCAATGTGTTAGAAAAGGATTTTATATCTGTAAGGAAAATGAGGAAGCTTTTTTTCCAACATATTGACTGAAACAGATATAAATTTTTTTCTCGAAAACTGTTAGAAATAAACCTATCGAAATTTATATCATTGAAATCAGCAAAAGCAGAGCTATCCAATGAGCTATTCAGACATATAGGGTGTCCTATTTGATCAATATACCTCAATATGGGAGTGAAATAGAAAAAAACTTAGTACGCCACTGGATTGTGCTCAAAAAAGTATCTCAAAGATGTTTCCACAGAAATAAGAAAAATTTACAAACAAAAAACTTATAGCTATTTTTCATAATAGGGGAAAATCGGAAATCGCCCTGTATTGCTAGTACCATTGAAGATATCGCGATACGGTTTTTGACAATAGACGTTTCTCGAAAATCAATTCCATGACATCTAAGTCAATTTTCCTCTATCTGGTCTGGAAGTATGTTTTTTTCTGTTAAAACACTCCAAATTGCAGCACCCTGTGCATGCAATGTAATATACAAGGATTTTATGAAACACATTTTTTTTCTTTTTTGCTCTGTGTATCCGTTGTTATTTCGCGTTCGAAGAAGTTGATGACAAATTATTTGCAGGCACTTAATTGCGCAACTTTTTCCCCATTCGGTCCACCCTGTATCTTCAAAGGTTTCCAAAATCCCCATGTACTGCAAACAGGCGCGGATCCAGATCCAAATTAAGGGGGGGGACCATACAAAATATTGGAAGGTACAGGGTATCTGGTTATAATTTGACACCCCACCTTTATAGGTAGATGATAGGTGTAAACACAAAAGTGGAGCAGTTTTAGTTAAATTATTGTCAGAAATTTGAAATTTTGCATACTTTTAACTTTTTTCAAATAAAATGCCCTATATTTAATTCTATATTCTTGAAGAGCACAATTTTCCGATTCCAAAAATATATAGTTTTGGCTTCAAAAATTTTAAGAAATACTATCAGAGAAACCAAGTGCCTCCAATTTTACCTGAAGCTTTCATCAGAATGGTTCACAAAATCGTCAGTATCAGTAGGATAGTATTCTTCCAATATGTTGAAGGTGGCTCAAACAAATATAAACAAACTATATATTAGAAGCAAATATAGGGCATTTCATTTAAAAAAGTTGAAATTTCTTACAATAAACTTTTGTTTTTGACGATGGATTCTGAATATTTAGTTAAAACTGCACAACTTTTGTGTTCACACCTATCATCTACCTGTAAAGGTAAAGGCTACAGGTCCGGTGTCAAATTATAACCAGACACCCTGTACATACAAATAGAATAGGTTGGAGGTCCGTGATAAAATGACGTCATGAAATAAAGTTCTGTTATATACGGGCCCGATTTAATGTTGATTTTTAAAATTATTTATTCACGACTAATGTATAATGTGCGTAGGTATTATATTTGTGATTTTGGCAGTATAATGACATATGTTATTCCTCCAGGGATTAATAACGTATAGCGGGATTAATGGTCATTATTCCACAAAAGTGTCAGTGTCAAACGTGTAGTGCTTGTGGATTTGTATTGAAAATTATGAGACGGATGAAATTTATTCATTGAAAATCTCAAATAAATTAATTTGTCGTAAATAAAGTAGAGTATACTACTCGCAATAATGGCTATTATTCCCTCGGAATGTTACTCCCTCGCCGCTAACGCGGCTCAGTTCGTAATAATCCTCGGGAATAATAGCTATCATTATTGACTCGTGGTATAATCTACTATTATTCTTATCGAATTGATTCCGTGAAAAACGACATGAGAACTTTTGGAAAATCAACTTCCAAAACTGAATTAAACCAAAATGCAACTCCCGACATTTTGTTTTTTTTTTTTGATACTACTGATGGGAAAATTTCGAAACTCTTGGGATGAAAAAAGAAAGAAAAAGAACTCATTATACCGAAATTTCGAAATGATTTAGTAAAAAAAGACAACATGAGAAGTTCTAGAGTACCTAGATATCAACCTTCAAAATTTAATTTAAACAAAATGCATCCTCTAACATTTCGGTGTATTTTTAAAAAACCACTGAAACTAGTGATAGGAAAACTTTAAGACTTCTTGTGTAAAAAGAGGAAGAAGGGGAGCTCATCATACTGAAATTTCGAATTGTTTCTGTGTAATATGACAACATGAGTAATTCTAGAAAATCAACTTTGAAAACCAAATTGAAGCAAGATGCATCTGCATCTCCAGAAATTTTGCTGTTTTTTTTTTTTTTTTGTAAAGTACCTACTGCTGAGAAAATGTTAAGATTTCTGTGGTGAAAAGAGAAAGGAAAGGAGTTCCTTATACCACAACTTTCGAATTGATTCAGCGAAAAAAGACAATTTAAGAAGTTCTAGAGTAGGTATCAAACTTCAAAATTTAATTTATGCAAAATGCGTTCTCGAACATTTTGGTGTACCTAAGTATTTCAAGAAAAACTAGTGATGGGAAAATTTTGAAGCTTCTGAGGTAAAGAGAGGAACAAAAGGAGCTCATTGTACAGAAATTTCGAATTGAAACTTAAGATATTTTAAAAATCGTTTCAGCTGAGAACGACAACATGAGATTCTCAGAAAATAAACTTTCAAAGCATAATATTGAAGCATGCATTCTGAGACATTTTGGTAGTAGAAATAGGTCACTTGAGCCTGAGAATTTTTTCGATACCGTGGGAAAATCGGCGGGTTTTGCTGGTTTTCACTGGTTTTATGCTGGTTTTGTGCTAATTTTTTTAAAACCAGCTAAACCAGTGAAAAGTAGTGAAAATCAGCACAAAACCAGTACAAACTAGAACAAAATCAACTAAACCAGCATAAAACCAGCACGAAACCAGCAAAATTCGCCGTGACCTACCTACTTTGGTGTTTTTTTCATAAACTACTAATAGGAAAATTCTGAAGCTCTTGGGATATCGAAATTTCGAATTCATTTCGTGAAAAAGGACAATATAAAAAATCTGGAATATAACTATCAAAATTTAATTTAAGCAAAATGCATCCTTGGATACATTGATGTTTTTTTGATAAGCTACTAATGGATAATTTTGAAACTTTCGAGGTAGAAAGAGGAAAAAAGAGAGCTTATTATACTGAAGCTTCGAAGTGATTCATTGAAAACCGACAACATGAGAAATTCAGGAGAATCATCAACTTTGAATACCGAATTTTAGCAAATTGCAATTTCGGACATTTTGGTGTTTTTAAAAAACTCTTGATGAGGAAATTTTGAAACTCTGAGGAGCTCATGATATCGAAACTTCCGAATTGATTGCGTGAAAAAAAACAAAATGAAAAGTTCTGGCAAATTAACTATCCAAACATAATTGAAACAAAATGCATTTTGAGACATTTTGGTGTTTTTTTAACAAAACACTGATGGGAAAATTTCGAAACTATTGGGATAAAAGGAGGAAGAAAAGAAACCTATCATACTCAAATTACAAAAATCGATTCTGTTGAAAATGACCCCATTTTTGGAAAATCAACTTTCTAATCAACATGCATTCTCAGACATTTTAATTTTTTTTCAAAAAACTAGGTTCTGATTGAAGAATTTCGAAATTTTGAGGTGAAAAGAGGAAGAAAAAAGCTCATGATATCAACTTGGTTCTATGAAAAAGGAAAATATGAAAAATCCTGGAAAATGAATTATCAAACAAAGCCCAATTGAAGAAAAATGCGTCCTGAGAAATTTTGGTATTTTTTCTATAAATTCCTGATGAGAAAATTTTGGGGTAAAAAGAAGAACTAAACGAGCTCATCATATTGAAATTTTAAATTGATTCAGTGAGAAATGACAACATGAGAAATTCTGGCAAATCAACTTTCAAAACCGAATTAAAACAAAATGAAACTCCGGAGATTTTGATGTTTTTTTTTTTTACTGCTGCTGGGATAATTTTGAAAGTTCTGGAATTAAAATAGAAAGTAAAAACTATAAAAAGAGCTCATTGTACCGAAATTTCAAACTGATTCAGTGAAAAAAGACATGAGAAATTCTAGGGTATCAACCTTTAAAATTTATTTCAAGCGAAATTCAGTCTGAAACATTTTGGTGTAATTTAAAAAAACTAGTACCGTAAAACGGGGATACTTTGTGACAGATTTTGACGTTTTTTGCAATTCTCAAACAGTTCTTTGCCACATAAAATTCTAAAAAAAATACACAATCTATATCCGTCCTTTCGCTACAAAATACCAATAATAGGAAATTGAAAAAAAATTGATAATTTTTTAATTTGAAAGTGTCCCAATTTTCCCCCTGGATGCGGGGTGTGAGATGAGAACATAATGGAATCCCGTCATTTTTAGTCTGAAACGATAGGAAATGTCAAGAAATATTTGCTTGATAATTTTCTGATATTAAAAACACGGGTATATACTGATTTAGACATTTTAAATTTTTATTGTATATCATACGATATAGTATTTATCACCCTCATATTCAGCCAGAAATTGGGATGTGAACTCCACCAATCGGAAGTCGTCCACATTAGGAGACATGTCGATCCTTTTAGCGTTGTTATAGGTTGAGCATAAGTTTCTTCCATACTAATTATATGTCACAAAGTTGTCTTCTGAATTGTTTATTGTTAAAAAAAATGTGTCAAATTAATAAATCGTAAGCGATTTTACGTAGATGTCCTGACAAGTACCCAAGCAATTAGAATGTGTTACGAATTTTTCTGAGAAATATTCAGATTTTGATGTACAGTAGAAAGTTTTGAAAACAATGCAAAAACGAGATGCTCCCATCGAATCCAGGATGTTAGTTACCAAGTGAGCATACCCAGCTTGCCGAGCGGTCTTTGTAGCGGGTGTGACACAAAGTATCCCCGTTTTACGGTATGATAAAATTACCTTATTATCAAAACTTAATTATTGAAGCAAAATGCATTCTCAAAACATTTTGGTTTCTTTTTGAAAAACTACTGAATTTTGAAACTTTTGGGCTAAAAAAGAGAAAGAAAACAAGCTCATCATACTGAAATTTCAAAAATTGATTCAGGTGGAAACGACACGAGAAATTCTGTAAAATCAACTCAAAACCGAATTAAAGCAAAACGCAACATCGGACGTTTTGGTCTTTTTTCAATGAACTACCTACTGAAGAGAAAATTTTGCAACTTTTCGGGTGAGAACATAAAGAAAAAGATCTCAATATACCAAAATTTCAAATTGATAAAGACAAGATGAGAACTTTCAAGAGTATCAACCCTCAAAATTTAATTTTAGCAAAATTCATCCTTGGAAATTTGATGTTTTTTCAAAAACTACTGATGGGAAAAATTTGAGACTTTTGGGGTGAAAAGAGCAAGAAAGGAAGCTCATGAAATAGAAATTTTGAATTGATTTCGTGAAAAAGGACAATATCAAATATTCTGGCAAATTAACTATCAAAACATACCTAATTGAAGCAAAATGCACCCTGAGACATTTTGATGTTTTTTTCAAAAAACTACTGATGGACAAATTTTGAAACTTTTGTGGTGGAAATAGGAAGAGAAGGAGCTTGCCATATCAAAATTTCAAAGTGATCCACTAAAAAATGACAATATGAGAAATCTAGAAAATCAACTTTCAAAAACTAAACTACAAAGAATATAATAATTAGGCTATTTTGGTTTTCATTTGAAGTTTTTTTTTATGATAAGAGTACGGGGAACCTACCTGATAAAGAAGGTCAAACGTTTTTGGCATGAAACTCATCTAGGAATTACAAAAATGAAACAGTTGGCTTGCTGTTATATCTATTGGCCAAATATTGATCGACTCATCGAAACATTGGTTAAATTAAAATTTGTAAAAGTTGCCTACATCAATCAAATACTACAAAAGTTTTCACCGAATGAAAATTAAGCAAGAATTCAAATTGATTATGCCGGCCCATTAAAAAAAAACGATTACATCTTGTAACATTTGCCATTTGTGGTCAAAATCACTGCATGATAAAATTTAATTAGGTACTTCAAATATAGTTTTATTCCTTCAAGACCTCTTTGATTGATGCTAAAATTGCAAGGGTGGTTTTAGGGATAATTAGCCTTTTCCAGACTTTTCTTCCACTTATGGATAAGAAGCGTGTGGAAGTTGAAAAACCATGTTAAATAAACATCCATAATAATAACAAAGATAATTAGGATTAACAAGTACAGCCGCTGACCGCTGAACATCTAAGGATCGATTTAAGATTGAAAAATCAATTTAGATGTCTAAGACTCATCCTTGATTATGCATTTGAAAGAAAAACATAAAATTTTCGAAGAACCACCTGGATTGTGCAGCAGATTTCCGTCAGAAGCTGAGATTGAATTATCTTTGATGAAATGTAGACCTTTTATTATCAGAATCAGTTTATTTTTCTATAATCACTGATCACAGAGATCTATTGTTTTTGTTTTAGCCGTGAATAATAGATAAACTTTTTAATTTTTACAGGGCCGCCGAGTTTTCTGCTCGGTGGTGTCCGTCTACCGCTATGGGCGAGAAGAGGACGAGGTCATGGGCGTCAAGTTTAGCAAAGAAATGACTGTCGTGAGCGCCCAAGTAGCTCCATCCAAACGGGAAAAAGGTGAATAATTTTCAATTCACAACTAATCATACAATATAACTTTTTTCTATTAGACGAACCACTGACTGCAATCCAAGAAAAACTCGTAAAAAAAATGGGTCCCAACGCTTATCCCTTCACCTTTAATTTCCCGGAAATGGCACCGTGCTCTGTAACTCTTCAGCCTGGCGAGGACGACCAAGGCAAAGCCCTTGGAGTCGAATATTACGTCAAATGTTGGATAGGCAACAACGAAGAAGACCGAGGACACAAAAGGAGTACCGTCCAACTTGCCATCAAAAAACTTCAATTTGCTCCTCCATGTAAGATTAATTCAATTATTTGTATGTAAATTTAATCTTTTGCTAAAATTATTATTGTAGCTCGTGCTGGAAATCGTCTCCCATCCTCCCTGATTTCGAAAGGTTTCACCTTCTCCAGTGGCAAAATCAACTTGGAAGTCACCCTGGATAAGGAAATTTACTATCACGGAGAAAAAATTGGCGCTAATATAATGATTAGCAACAATTCAAGAAAACAAGTTCGCAATATCAAGGTTTACGTGGTTCAACATTGTGAGGTAAGTTTTCGTTTTAGAATTACGAATGTACCTAATAGAACTTATAAACTGTTTCACCAAGGAGCTCATAGCCAGGGGTATCTACCTAAATACGCAAAGTATAAATAAAGTCTTCCAAGTATTTTAAACAGGTTTGCTTTAAACATATCTGGATCTGTTTTGGAAAAGTTTTTTCACAAATAGGTTTGCCTTTGCGATTTTCATGTAGTTGCCGAAATTGCCGGTGAACTGTTCTAGCTTATCTACTCCAAATGAGATGGATTGAAGACCTCAATAACTAACCGCCCGATTATATTAAAGACAAGTGTGTGAGACCCCAAATTCAGAAACTTGGCAAGATTTTAAATTGGCGAGCGGTGACTTTAGTTTCTGCGTGGAGACACAGTTTAAAATGGGTCCTATTTGCGGGTGGAGAGTAAAACACAGAAATATTGTGGTCAATTAAAATGAAGTTTATTTTATTGAAATAAATAATGCTTGTTATTAAATAACAGGCGTCGGTAATAAATAATTTTACAATAAAATTGTTAGATTTCTAATAAACATCAAATTAACTGTTAAGGAAAATTTAGGTATATGATTCCAAGTAAAAATTTTTATTTACAGTTTGACTCGATTCACACTCTTGCCTTCACAATTTCTGGCTGAACATAAAAAAACTCTACTTACATTTAACAATAATATATTTACTGCTGGCAACACCTAATTACATGGAAAACCTATTGGTCGAAGGAATTTACTTTAATTATGAACACTTAATAAAAAATTCGAATATTATTGCGCTGTTATTTCACGTCGTGCTTCTTCTCGCGGTTAACTCGACAACTCTTTCACGCTGTAGTTCTAAATTTCTGGACACAGGTCTCTCGATTCTCGATTACTACTTGTTTCTTGATATCTCAACCGACACTGGTCCTTCACGCCGTAGTTCTGCCGGTTTACTCGCTCTTTCTCGAACACTCTTTTCTCGATCACTGGTCCCTCCATTGTCTTGAATTTCTTTATTTTTTTCTGACCTCGATTTTTCGTGGTTGAATCATCCGATCAATTAGTGTATTTGGTCCCCTTTTAATTAATTATCAAGGGCGTCGCTAAGTGGTTTGTTAAGTGGGTATCATCATATAGGCTCGTGCATGATTTATTGATCCTTTTAGAAATTTTTCGGCTCCTTTGGAATGTTAATTGTTGAAAGCACTTAAAAAAAAAGGTCCATGAACTTTTGCTTGATTCACATTCCAATGTATTAGTCAATATAGGGTATCGGCTTTCAATAATTTTTGGATATCGATGTTCAGATAATTTTTATTTGAAGTTTCTGGTTGTGCTGTCTAAGTGATGATCTCTCCTGGAATGGTTGTTTGGTAAGTCCTTGTTATTGTTTTCTTGGTGGTTTAATTCGACATCACTACAAGTGCTCTAAAATAGAGTTAACTAAAGAGAATTAGCGAGAGGTTCGTAATAAAGATGAATGTTAACAGACTAGAAAAGTAGAAGAGGAAAAATAAGAAGAAGAAGAACAAGAAACAAACGTGCATAAAACCGATGTTTCCTAAATACAAGGAGTCATCACTTATCATCTGTTCTATAAAGAATATCTATTATGCAAATCGTTTATCATTCGGATGAAGCTCTACATCCTGCTGAATTTTGGATTAATTCAACAAAATCATGTATAAAATTGATACCTATAACTATATTTCTTTTCCACAGGTAACTATGGTAAATGCCCAATTCTCCAAATACGTTGCGAGCTTGGAAACCAGAGAAGGATGCCCGATTACCCCCGGTGCTAGTTTCACCAAAGTCGTCTACATGGTACCATTGGCCTCGTCCAACAAGGACAGACGCGGAGTCGCTTTGGACGGTAGACTACGGGACGACGACGTCAACTTGGCCAGTTCCACTTTGGTTCCGGACGGTAAATGCCCGATCGACGCCATTGGTATTGTGATTTCCTACTCTCTCCGGGTCAAACTAAATTGTGGTACACTTGGTGGCGAATTGGTTACCGATGTACCGTTTAAACTTTTGCATCCTGCTCCTGGTTCTGTTGAAAAGGAACGTTCCGCCGCTTTGAGAAAGAGCAAATCAATTGACAGGTAATTTGTTTAAGAAACATAATAGAACAGCACAATAGAAACAAATTATCATTAATTAATTGTATGTTTTTGTTCTTCAGGGGCCGTTATGAAAATGACGATGACGACAACATAGTTTTCGAGGACTTTGCACGTTTCCGCATGTCCAGAGACGAAGCCGAATAAACATTTACTCAAAAAAAAAAAAAAAAAAACTACAAGTCCCTAAAAATATTCAACAATTGTCCATTATATGCCGACTTTTAGCAATGACCACTGACTAACGCCCCTCTGGAGGACCGAATATTTTTAGTACAATAATTAGTAGTTTATAGCAAAATGCAGGGTTTATTATTACGTATTTTATATTGTATGCACATATTTTAAGGTAAAATTTGAAAATGTTTGATGGCAATCTTGGAGAAATAGTCTTCAAATGCCGGGACCACCAAACATGCCACTTTAAGGTTGTGATCAAAGATTTCAATAAAATAGAAAAATATATAGGTATTGTTTATAAGAATTATTATATGTATAATATGTAATTAAAAAAAATATCTATTTTTAGGGACTTTGTTTGTTTATGAAATAATTTGCCTTGAAAGCAATAAATGAAAAAAAGTATAAAAAAAATTGAAAAAAAAAGAATTAAAAAAAAAAAAAAAAAATCAAAATGAAACAAGTGGAATTAAAATAGTGAATTAGTTCTTCCGCCAGAAGTGATACATAAAAATAAATGATCAATTTTGACAATAGAAAATTCAAATTTGTTTTTGTTAATGAAATTCATTATTAATGTAGATATTATATAGGTACAAATTATGTTTATTTTTAATTGGTTCAAATTTTGAGGTTTCCTAACTTGTGCAAATAAAACAAATGTTTTCAGAAGAGCTAATATTGTTTTGCTTTAGTTCAAGTTTGCAGAAATTTGAAATTCAATTATTCCTCGATATCAATTTTTTACTTCTATAGATATTCTAATGATCCAGAAAAATGGAGCATTCATTAATTTGCAGGGACTAAAAATTCTGAAAATAAAAGTAAATTAACGTGTGTAACTCACTGGGCCTAACCGCTGATTATCGGATGGGATGCCAACGCACACCACATGGTATGGAGCAGCACCGACACAAACCAAAAGGGAGCTCAGTCTTTTGGAGTACCTTCACACTACGGATTTAGAAATCCTGAACCGTGGCAGCGCACCGACCTTTGTCACTTCGCGTAGAATTGACATTGGGCTCACTCTCCATGGCACTGATGATAAGCAAATGGACAGAGTGTCTGACGAACCGACCCTATCCGATCACAAATACATCCTCTTCAGTTTGATTACAAGGTTGGGCTAAGTAAGTTCAGGAACTTCTGGAACACGAACTGGGAACAATACGTTGAAATCCTATGCCGCAGCCCGCAGCGTAAGGCATGTGGAGAAAACAGCCGAATTTAAACGCAAAACTATCACGGATGCGTACAAACGAAGGTGTTAGCTTCGGACCTAGGTATCGAGAAAAGAGGAAAACCCCGAAGGCTCTTTGACCAGTGCCATACGGTCTAAGTTATTACCTGACTGGGAGAGCCACAAGCAGTCTCAGCGCAATATGCGCAGATACAAAGATTTTATAAATGGCTTTATTGCAATTCATCAATTCACAAGATCCAGATATATAATATTTAACAAACATTTTAGAATTACAAATGTCGGGGTTGAAGCACAGCTTCCTATCTCAACCACAGCACAATAGTGCAAACATTATAGAACGAAATACAGAGTATTACTTTCAATCATAAGTCTATCGCAAGTCCTTAGACTAGTACCTAGCACGGGTGCTAGTATAAAAAAAATATATACGAATACACAAATATAAATATAGAAAAAGATACAAAGTATAAAGTATACCTAAGGGAAATGTTAAACACCGAGTTAAACACATTATACAGCCCAGAGAAAGAGGTCGTGAAAGACGTTCTGCCGAAACGTAGACGAGCTTCTGGCAGCCGCCAACTACTTTTCTTCATAATATTCAGGATTCCATTTCTCTTGTAAACCCAAACACAAACTTTGCCCTCTTCTTATGAGTACATACTGCTATACCTGTTTCTGCTAGTAGCTATCGGGATCGTGCGACTGGGTGGCGGGCGGTCAAAACCTACTTATTTTATATTATAAATATTTTTGGCAGAAAATTAACGTTTTGCGCGTGGCACGAACAGGATTTTTTCGCCTCCGCCGGCGGGCATGTGTGTATATTTCTTTTTATGTTAATATTTTATAATCTCTATTCTGTAAATCAGGTTCACCTATATTAGGTACAATCACTTATAAAACTATAGAACATGTTTTTAAAAATAGTCATGCATATTTGTATTCTCACTTAATGGGAGCGGCAAACAGAACATTTGCCTAGGGCGCCAAAGTCACTTGCGCCGACCCTGACCGCCAAGTTTCAAAATATTCTCTCAAAAGATCCAGGCTAGAGTTGAGGCCACTAGGGCTTCTCACTGGCAGTTATAGCACTACCGCAGAGGCGGCACTTGGTTATGGCTCCTGGAAACACACTTTACGGGCTCTAAGATCTTGCAAGCTGATGAACCACCACAAGCTGGCGCAAGGTCAGCTGACTAGAACATTTCTGCGAGGGTGGTGTCAGAAAACTCTATGGGATGGGTTATGCACTCATTTGGAACTTTCAAGGGTTCGGGACCAGATGGCATTTTTCCTGATTTTTTACAAAAGGGGTTGGAGCTACTGACTCCGCACCTAATACGCCTCTTCAGGGTCTGCCTCGCACATAGTCAAATACCACATTCCTGGCGTGAGGTCCAAGTGGTATTCATCTTCAAGGTCAGGACGAAATAGTTACGAAGCGCTTAAGGATTACAGACCTATCAGTCTATCCTCGTTTTTTGTAGAAAAGCTGGAGAAACTTGTGGACACATTCATAAGGGAAGGGGCATCGAAGACAGTGCCTATGCACCCTAATCAACACGCCAGCAGGACTGCAATGTCAACTGAGACGGCTCACGGCTCTTCACAGCCTTGTAACAATAAAGCGGGAGCGCGGGATGTCTCACAAAGAGATTGCTATGGGAGTATTTCTAGACATCCGCAGCCAGTGAAGTCGAAAGAAAAAGCAAAATTTATGATTTACAGAAAATAAAGAAAGAAGGACAAAATGAACAAAAAGGGACATACCGACAACAAAATGTTCCAATTATTATAGGCACTAGCTGACATCACACACATAACCTCTTATCTCAATGACATTTTTCCATTGCATTTTTGTCCCCCTATCGAAAGTGACGTTTTATGATTTTTGATGTAGGTAATAGCTACAGTGACTTTATTACCACAGTGGCGACAATTGCTGTCTCATTTTTGATTGGTTCTAAAATCCCATATATTTATATTGAAAACGCCGCCATCTTGTTCCCAACCTCTTGTTACTTTTAAATATGAATATATAGGTTTTAGGTGAACTTCGATCTGTCATGAAACATGGAAAACAACGTATTTGATGAACCTAATAATGGTCATCAAATATATCGATTTCAATTTTTTATGAAAGATGTCCATTTAAATCTTATATATTAATATTTGAAAGTAACAAGTGGTTGGGAACAAGATGGCGGCGGGAACTCTATTGTCGCCACTGTATGTAAAGGTTTATTTAGCCACTGTAGTAATAGCTAGCGCCTGCGTGTAAAAATAGACCTTCAAACGCTTTGTTTGTCCCCCCATCGAAAGTCGAATGTGAGGTTGTGTGTGACGTCAGCTAGTGACTAATTGCGGAAAAAGAGGACACATATCATCTAGTTGCCCGATAAATTAAAAGGAATGAGATATTTCAGTTGCCAAGGGTTTGGTCACATTTTTACTAAATGTCCTAAGACAGCAGGAGACAGCTCTGGAGCACGCAGATGAGTTAACTTGATCGAAGTATTCCCGAAATTTTCTGTTGACCTGATGAATGGCGTAAAATTGACAGTTTTATTTAGCTTAGAGACAGGACAAGTCATTCATAAATCACCAAATAGTTTGACCTAACATCAACAATCGCTTAGAATTATTTATCAATGAGTGCAGCCAAAGATTTTTTGTGGTGAGAGAACGCTGCAGCCGGCAGGGGCGCGTATGCAAGAGCTTGATGGGAGCCCCAAAACAATTCTAAAAGGTTAAGGCAAAGAGTGCTGCGTTGCCAAATTGACATCAAAGTATTTTATTTTGTTTGGGTTAGATTTTCCTAACAGGTGCAGAGTAGTGCAGACAATGTTTATTGTTTAACAAGTGACGAAAACAGCAGTTTTTAAAATATGTAGGTAATTTTTTCATGTTGCAGAAAATGATTTTTGACGAAAGTTGTTTATTTTTCAATGGTCGGAAAAAAAGTTTTTTGCAGATGCTAGTTTGTTTGTGCAAAGAAAGATTGAGTAGACAAAGTCTTCGAGTGACGTCACCACAGCAGCTAATAGTGATGACGTTCCCGCAGACCTCGATGGAATGCTTGCGATTCAGGTTGTGCTCGTTATTTGAATTTTTCGTCGATTCTAAATGTAGAAAAGGTGATTTAAACAAAATTTTAACGTTTAGGAATTCGTTTTTTTGATCTATGCTATAGTGCTTTGAACTTGAATAATGCATTTTACTCCAAGAGTTGAGGTCTGCGGCCGACATGGCAGTTAGCAGACACTTTCAGCTTTCACCTCAATAAGCAGTCCTACTAGGGATTAAAAACAGGATAATCTCTGCCATTTTCTGGACACCTGAAACAAAAAACGTTTTTTTCCTACGAATGTGCTGAAAAAAAAACTTTTGGAAAAGACTAAAGAGTAATCTTTCCGCAGGGCCTTGTGAAAAATTGTGTTCCTAACACTTGAGAGAAATGGTATTTTCCGCACTTGTTAGAAAAATTACTATTTTTTTTTTTCGAATTTGATATGAAAAAAATTTCCGCCCTGTGGGAGAACAAACGACTTTCCAGTTCCACTCAAACCAAAAGGCAGTGCTTGCTCGTGGAAAAAAATTATTTATATATTTATTTATGGAACTGTCTAGAGTCCCGAACGCGGAATCGCTAGAAAAACGGAAAATCCCGAAAAGGCGTGGCTTAAATAACTGCGTTCGGGACTTTCCATAAATAATTTAAACCCGACTTCGGGACCATTGTAACAAAAGTAAACTCCCGAATTCGTAATAATTTTTTATGTACTATTACTATTTGTTTATCCTATACACCTAGGTTAGATTAGTTAACTGCTGTGTGTTTTATCATGCCCCTAATTTATACAAGACAGTTAAATATAAACCTGATATAAGATGAAAATATGAAATAATCCCTAATCATGGACAAGTTGTTGTTGATAGGTACCCCTATCGAGACTTATGAGTTTCAGGACTATGATGAACAAGAGCAGCAGTTTGAAAATTCAGAAATAATATCTTATCATAAACAAGTTGTCGTTAATACCCCTATCGAGACTTATGAGATCCACATGGACTATGATGAATAAAACCAGCAGTTGGAAAATTCTGAAATAATAATTACTAACACTCCTGTTGAAACTTATGAGCAGCCAACAGTTAGAAAGCGAAGGAGAAATAGGACATAAAATACCTACACAGCGACCGGCAAGAGCAAAATCCTCTGGAAAATATATTTATTTTTTTTTTGGTATAGAGGTATATTTGCAATTTAATGAAAACAAATTTCAGAACCCTATTAAAAGTCGAGGCACACCTAGAGGCAAGCAAGAATTTAACGGCGATAGGCCTGCCAGCTAAAAAGAAAAAGAAAAGATCTACAAAATGATATGTCAAAGTTTCTTTTCCATTTTGTTAACCTACTAGAAATACCTACACAAGATTTGTTTTTTGCTACCTACTTCCTTGTTTTTCTATTATCTGATAAAATTATAAGTCGGGAGCTTACTTCTGTTACAACAGTCCCGAGGTCGGGATTCGAATAATGTTTGGAAAGTCCCAAGTCCCGAACGCCGTTATCAAGCCACGCCTCTTTGGGATTTTGCTTTTTTCAAGCGATCCCGCGTTCGGGACTCTAGACAGTTCCTTTATTTATACTCCTTCAAAATACAAAATTTGTAGTTTCAATTTTATTCAATTTTCAATTTATTCAATCATATGCAGTACAATCAAATTATAATAGTAGATTATACCACGAGTCAATAATGATAGCTATTATTCCCGAGGATTATTACGAACTGAGCCGCGTTAGCGGCGAGGGAGTAACATTCCGAGGGAATGATAGCCATTATTGCGAGTAGTATACTCTACTTTATTTACGACAAATTAATTTATTTGAGATTTTCAATGAACAAATTTCATCCGTCTCATAATTTTCAATACAAATCCACAAGCACTACACGTTTGACACTGACACTTTTGTGGAATAATGACCATTAATCCCGCTACTCGTCATTAATCCCTGGAGGAATAACATATGTCATTATACTGCTAAAATCACAAATATAATACGCACAATATACATTAGTCGTAAATAATAGTAGATTATACCACGAGTCCATAATGATAGCTATTATTCCCGAGGTATATTTACGAACTAAGCCGCGTTAGCGGCGAGGGAGTAACATTCCGAGGGAATAATAGCCATTATTGCGAGTAGTATACTCTACTTTATTTACGAGAAATTAATTTATTTGAAATTTTCTTTCCAAAAACGCTCTTTGTTCATCTATCTCAATACAAATCATATACAAATACACAAGCACTACGCGTTTGACACTGACACTGAATTTGTTCTATACAGTTTTCATGGTATTACCTACTTATTTAATTTGAAAAATTTTGTGATTGGTATGCAAGCGGGATTAATGACCATTAATCCCTGCGGGAATAATAGATGTCATTAAACTGCCAAAATCACAAATATAATACTTACATTATATGTCAGTCGTAAATAAAAGGTTATTATATTCTCTGTCAACTCAAAAGGCAAGCATAATATAATAATAAAAAAACTGTGGTGGCGTGCCATGCGCTGATTCCAGTCCCAACATGAAATGCCAAAAATTGCAACATCGCATATAAATTGTTTCGAGGCTACCACCAAGCTCTTGTGGCGCGTATTCTTTGACGTCAAGCGGTACTTGTGTGGTTGCCTATCCTTGTCTTGTATAAGAAGTTGGAAAAGGACATTGCATAAATACGCTGGATCTATTTTACTACGCGGAGCAATGTGCATCAATGTTGGAGCAAACCAAACAGGCACCTTGTCCTGTCTCTACAGAATAGGTATATAGTCTAAGATATTTACCAACGACCACGAAGACTTTCACCTTCTGAGTTGATAAGCAAATAGAGGAGTGGTTAAAGGAGGGAATAATTCGACCCAGTCCATCCAAGTTTGCTTGTCCTATAGTTTTAGTAAGGAAAAAGGATGGACGTGTTGGCTTTGGTATGTACGGCGGTGTGGACGATGTTCTCAAATCCTTTCCACACCTCAATGTTTCCACTACTTTCTAATTCAAACGCCAACGACAGCACATGTGCCGTTGGCGTTGGTCTACGTTCGAAATTCGGTCTATACGCTGCTTTATATCGATAGGTTTTCCGCTCATCACTAAATACAGCAAAAGTGCTGTTTAGTGTTGAATCCTAGTTTCAGATGGTGCCACGATCAGGGGTGGATGGGCCAGCAGGGATTTTGGGAAGTTTCCCGAAGGGCCGCTTACTTCCGTCCGGTCCGGACCGGCCCGGAAACATACAGGGTGTTTCGCGAACATCGAAACAGAGGAAATTTAGGGTCGATTTAAAAAAAACGCTCGGACACGTCATTTTTGTATTCAAGGGGGAAACTTTTCGACCCCATCGGTATTTCGCCAAGGTGCACCCCCTGGGTAGGATGACTTCCACCCTTAGATTAACACATAAAATAGATAGGTTTATTATGATTAAAAAATGCCCCAAACATTGACTCACATTCTTAGATCACTTGCGGACACTTACTGCAGATGTGCCATATTTATAAATTGTCCTAAGTTGCAGGGAAAATGGAATTGGAAATTGAAAAAAATATATCGTAAATATAAAAACCTAGATAGGTATATGTATAAACAATTATAACATAAAATATCGCGGTGCTTTCCAAAACTGAATAGGAATAATTATTATATACCTAAAATAATAATTTATTATCACGATAAAATTTGAATAAGAATTTGTGCTAGCTGAAAATGGCAACTCTGCCTAAAATCTCAAAACCTGGTTGTATAAATATTCGTCTAGGAACGCCCACCTGAATCGTTTTATCTTTGTTAAGATAACCAGATAAAGAAGAATGCAAATATTGCCAGAGCAAGCTCGACCATAATCGCGAATGCGCTCTTAGTATTCATAGTAAGAAATGTCAAACGGGTTTTGTTTGTAATTGGTCCGGATTGTCCGCAATCTTATCCCCACTCCATGTAGTTCATTCATTAATCCACTATTGTCGTTTAGGATTGTTGGCCGCAGAAACCAAACGATTTTATGAATGACTTGCCCTCTCTATTTATGTAGTGTTCCTCTGAGCTTCTACCCCACTTTTTTAGATAGGGAAGATGGCGAGTGGTACCTTGTTTGAAGGTATTTTGATTCTTATCACAATTTCTTTGAAAATCGAATGATTAGTTCTCAAGATAATCTTTGTCAAAGTTGCCATGGGACAAATAAGAAACAATCTTCTGCCACTGTTATTGTCGAATTAACACTTTCCTGACTTTCCTCTCGGACACATCAATTCCATTTTTTGTGTGCTTCTGAAAAAATAAAAATTGGTCGTATCCCCACTATTCATTAATTTATATTACCTATCTTAAATCGAGCCACGAAATTTCTTGTTCTAAGATTTAGAAGAATACATAAAATGGTTTTAAAATGAGTATTTTATATTTTTATTTCCAAATTTCAATTCAAAATTCAATTCTATTCTATCCTGAGGTGTCCGGACACCTGCACTGAATGAAGCTCGTGGCTCATTGTGCCCCCCTGAAGTTTTCATGTCAGGTCCACTCCCTTAGTAAAACTTAGGATGTCCCTGATATTCGCTTTCGCGATTTACTTTGGTTTCGGATACTGTGTCCCAAAGTGCCGCTGTCTTTGCAATCTAAGGTTAGGGGCACAAATAGGACATTGGCATAGTACCTACAAGTACAAATAGAGGATGAGGTGTTTCATCTTCCTCTTCACACCTTTCGCACAGCGAGTCTTCTGCTCGCTTCATCGTGCTTAGGTGTTTTCTGAGAGGGCAGTGTCCTGTCAACAATCCAACCACCAATCCAACCACATCTCTCAATAATCTCCTGCTAAGCTGTTCTTCTATTCATCTGCTCTTAGATGGTTCTTCCATGAAGAGTTTGAATTGCCTGAGTCCAGGAAGTTCCATCCAGAGTTTTTAGTGTTACTCCTATGAAATAATATTTTAAAAAAATGGGACTAGGAGGTTTTGAAGCTGCGTGACATTGAACTTAAAAAAAAAATTGGTTGCGGCGCGATTCATTCACAGCCCCCAAAATCAAATACTGATCTGGCAGGCCGGGCCGGTGCCAATGGTTTCCCGGGCCGGTTTTATGCTCCCCATCCGCCCCTGGAACAGGTTTTTCCTAATTTTCTACAGCCACAGGATGCTTGGCAACCTTTTGTGTATACACAAGCAATTTGCTCCAGCAAAGTTTGCGGGGCAGGAAGACCGTCCGTATTGGTATTAAACTATGGTTTGAGTTTTCCCAATCCCGATCAAGTGTAGTTAGAGCATTTTGATTCCACTGCTGTAGTTGGTGCAACATCCTCAAGCCGTATATATGCTGTGCTGAAATGTCTAACAGCCGTATACAACATCCTATTTTAACTTGAAAGCGCATTCAAAAACTTGTAACTTTTAAAAAAATTGTATTCTTTTTCTGTAATCCATACAAATTTTTAAAATTCACAGTTTTCAAAGTAGCCTCGTACTCATTATTATATTAGCTTAAATATAAATTTGGAGACGTTATTTGAATTTGACTAAATACATCTACTATTGTCACTTATTTATTGTAAAATAGTTTGTTAATTGAATAAAAATAAATTTACCATGCAAAAAAAGAAAATATCACGATTCGAAGCAAAAAGTTGCTAACTTTGAATGCCTATATCTCGGTCATTTTTTATCGCATGAACTTCTTACAACCGCCATTTTCACGGAAATTACATAGGCTTCATTTTTCATGAGGCAATTCCTATGCCTAAGTCAACTCAGAAAAAAGTTATAAGCAAAAATTGAAGAAAAAAATAAAAAGTCAATTTTTCGATTTTTTTTCAAGTAGTTTTTTGGATTTATTTTGTTGAAAAAACAAGTTCTTGGATAGCAAAAGATGTCATTTCGATAGGAAAATAAATAATTTTGAAAATTGAATATTTGTATAGTTTTATATACAACATTATGCCAAATAAATTACGAATCACTTATTTCATAAACCTTTTTATTCTCTATACCTTTAAATAAAATCTTAAAACAAAATCGCTTCTATGACTAATTTGAAAATAGAAAAAAAATCTTATGATCTAATGACTTTCAGTATTTAATTATTATCAAGTCTCAATAGCTACATCCTGAATTAAACTCTCGAATACAATCGGTTTATTATGGTTCCAATAAGAACATTAGTTAGGTACAACTAATCAACATTTATTTCAATTGGAAGCAAAAGAAACCTGAAATGCAATATAACTATAAGGGATTTTTTTTATATATGATATAAAATAAGGTCAGTTATAGAAATATCCTCATCAAATAATAAACCTTGGTAAATCCATATTACTCAATGAATGAAATGAAAAATTTATATAAATGTAGAAAACGGTAGATGTAGAAATTTATTTCTAATAATAAAAACCTAAAACCAATCTAATAATATTTCTGATTGGTTCTTAATTAAAGCTTGATTATTTCTGAAAGTTTAACTTTCGCGTTTGTAAAGTTTCTCCATAATGTTGAAGAACAAATCGTGCTGAAGCCCTTTGGAAATTTGTTGGATGTGAGTTTTGATGATGTTGTAACTTTCTTCTTCGTAGATGGCGTAAGTGTTGGGTAAGGACAGGTCTTGGTAGAGCTGTTTGACGATTGCCACCGATTCTGGTTCGGTTCTGGAAAAAATCGAATCAAATTGTAAAAAGCATCATTGTCGGATTTAATCTGTGAACATTTTGATCTATAGAATTTCAATTTGAATAATCAAGGTATATTTTCATTGTCACTCACCTTCCATAATGTTCTTCCATTATTTTCCTTTGAGCAGGTGTAGCCCTTTGCAAAGCAACCACAGCTAACCACGAGCATTTGCCCTCTTGTATATCAGTTCCCATCTTTCCGGTCACTGATGGTTCGCCAAAACAGTCTAGGAAATCATCCTGTAAAAAAAAGCATTTTCAATAAAGGAGAAATCACACATTTTTACAGTCTGCATAAAACATCTTAATGACTTCAAACTGGAACGAAACACTTGTCTTTCAAAGAAATGAAATATTTCCAACCTGAATTTGGAAAAATTGTCCCATCTCGAGCAAAATAGTCTTGGCCTGTCTGTGTTGCTCAACATCATCCATACCGGCCAATTGCATTGCCAGAGCTACTGGGGCATGGAATGTATAGTAGGCGGTTTTGTATTTTACAATCGATGAATATCTACAATAAAACAAAAAAGCATTTAATATCTTATCCATCTAAGTACATTATAGAAACAAAATATGAACAGAAATTTGAATACCTACCTAGACATAGTAAACATATCCAATTTCGGTTTGCCATCTTGATCCAAACACATTGAATCTAAACTTTGACCAAGAGTCGTCCTGAGGGTAGTTTCATGGAAAACTTCCATCAAAGGTACATATGCCGGATGATTTTTGAAATGTCTGAAAACGAAATCAAATAACTCAAAAATTCTATTATCAATATCGATAAATTACTTTTTAAGCAAGGCATAAATAGCATTTTGGATCATCAAAGCATCGTTTATGGCGCTCATGCCGATACCGGGTTGACGGTACCAGCATGGGTTACCACGTCGCGTTTCGGAACTGTCCATGATGTCGTCCAGAATAAGAAAATAGGCTTGTAGCTGAAAAAAAAAAGAGTCCATGTAATATAAATAAACTAGTAATAATCGAATAATCCTACAAATTATTTCCAATTTCTTATAAGTGTAAGTATGCTTTTATTTTCTACAAAATGTTTTCAAGTGGTTCATTGTATATAAATAATAGCTAGGTAATTTATTTTCAATATTAGGCATAATATTATCTTTTGCAATTACGTATTTATTATTATAATATGCTGAAAGAAGCAAATAAAATGGTATTATGTATTTATGTATGTGTTAAGAAAACACTGATCATGTGACTCTGAGGATTTTATGTAACAATAACAAGAAGCAAAGATAACATTATGGCTAAAAATAACTGTTTTGTAACAATCAAATTAATAAGTTGATTATTGTATGTGCGTAATAATAATAAAACTATACACTTTTTATAGCTGATTATGTTTTATTGATATTTCCCAAGCTTATCTTTACATTTTTAAATGATTTATCCAGGATTATTTTATTAATGAAAAATTGAAATGCTAAAAATTATACATAATTGATTATTAATTAAATTACCACAGTACATCAGAAATCATCAAGGCAGAATTTAGTCGTATGTATTTGAAAAATCTGTTTATATCTTTTAGGGCCAAAATATGGACCAACTGATAAGTGTCTGGTTGTTACCAGGCAGGTACTTTCTATTATCTAGAGCATAAAAAGCACCTGCTAGGTAACAACCAGACGTTTACCAGTTAGTCCATAATTTGGCCCTTACGGAATGTTTTAGCTTTTGGCGGAAACATTTTGGGAATATTTTTGTTTCGAAGATTAGTGACTTTACTAATGGTTTTGACATCGAAAAATGTGTCCACATTCTATTGTGTTCTATTGAAGAATAAGACAAGGTACGGACAATTTGACTTCATATTCATAAATCAATTTTCAACAGAATATAGAGAGTATTTTTTGATTATCCAATAGGTACACGACAGCAATTAGCTGAGTAAATATAATTTAAAACGGATGATAATTGAGGACAAATTATCGGTAATAAAGTTGGATCAACCAAATCTAAAAATAGGTATTCCAATCTTAATTCTTATTTTTTTTTACATGAGCAAACATTGAGCCTATGCATGTTTCAAGTCACGTAATCGCAATAAAAACTAGTTTCAAGTTGTGTTGTTTATTTTCGCAATTTTCTGCTTTAATTTTTATCAATAATAATTACTTAATAGTATTTTTTTTTTTCTAATAATAAAATTATCTGTGAGCGAGTTTATCGCAAAATCTTCAAGTACCTATGTATTATCTTTAATAATATACCTACACACATATTTGCAGATGGGTTGTGTAAAAATAGTGCAATTATTCAAACCACAAACAAGTGTGATTGGCTGACCCAAAAAATTTGCATCCATTTCGATAGAAAATAATAAAAATGATTGAATAATTATATAAAATGAATAAAAATTGAAATAAAATCTGAAAGAATTCAAGTTTTGAAATTCCTATGATTCCAGCATCTATGATTTAGTGAGGTGAGGTAGCTGAATATTATACCAAAATATTTTACGTCTGGCAACCAATGCGCCACTTTGGGTTTAGGTAGTACATGCGTAGACGAGTCTAAAAAGCCCGGGACACAATTTTTTCTCTCCTCTAGCGGCGTTGATGACGTAATCATTATTGCCGCCTAATTTCTGGGACATGATTCTATATATACTATACATTATCGGTTTATAACGTTCTACGTCTTCCGATTCCCGATCTCCAACCATCTCTATCAATCCAGGCATCCTCCCCCAAGCCTCTGTCTCTCATTTCTTCCTCCACTCCACTTCTCCAGCTTCTTCTTGGTCTGCCGCGTCTTCTTCTTTCTCCTGGTCTCCACTCAATAATTTGCTTGGGTATTCTTGTATTTGCTATTCTTTATACATGTTCGAACCAGATCAGCTATTTGTCCTTTATATCAACTACTATTGTTTGTTTTACGTCCATAATCTCCCTAATTCTCCATTTTTGACCTGCCTACCGATCTCCTCGAAAAGTCCATTTCATTTGTTTCCAGCATCTTTGTGGTTCTGTTCTTTAGTAGCTAGACTTCTGAACTGTATGTAACTATGCTTTTAACTATGGTCTACTTTTGTTAGTCTTGTTGATATTTTGATCCCACAGTACACCATTCAGTAGGGATATTGCCTTGCGTCTTTGTATATTCCGATCTTTAATTGCTTCGCCTAGGGTTCCCTCTTGTGAGATTTTCATGCCCAAATATTTATATTCAGTACATTGTTTTATTTTTTGTCCGTTATTCAATTTCAGAATTCGTTGTTCACCTCCAATATATTATTCTGTTTTAGTTAGATTTACTTCCAAACCCCATTTCTCGTATTCCTGTATCACTTTTCGTGTCATGTACTCTAGGTCATCATAGTCTTGTGCAATTAATACTTGATCATATGCAAAGCTTAAAGTATATTATAGATTTTATTCATTGAGCGGTATTCCCATGTGTCTGCATTTCTTTTTCCACCCCTTAAGTGCTTGTTCTAAGTATATTTTAAAAAGTGTTGGTGATATGCAGCATCCCTGTTTAAGTCCTCTAGTTGCTATAAAGCCTTTACTAATTATGTTTCCCTGCTTAATCTTGGTCTTTGCAACACTATAGAGCGTTTTTACTGCCTTTATTAGTTCTAAGTTGATATTGGTCTTTTCCAGTGCTTCCCAAAGCTATTTCAGCGGAACATTGTCATCAGATCTACAAAGAGTAAATGGAGTTCTTGGTTATAAGCTAGTTTCTTTTCCACTATCTGGGTCAAACGAAATAAATGGTCTACAGTGGATCTTTCTGCTCTAAAACCAGCCTGTTCTTCTGCCTCACTATCTTTGTACTCGTTCTCTATTCTGGCTTTTATGAGTTTTCCTTACACTCTGTTCAGCGTATTTGTTACTGCAATTCCTCGGTGGTTCTCGCATTTATTTCTTTCTCCTTTCTTATATATCGTTGTTAAATAGCTTATTTTCCACTCTTCCGGTACTTAATGTTTATCTATGCATGTTTGAAATAGTTTTGTTAAATGTTTGTAGAGTTTATTGGTCCCCTACTTTATCAGTTCTCCATATATTTCTCCTGGGCCTGGTGCCCTACCGTTTTTCAAGAAGCTACAGTGTTTTTTAACTTCTTCTTGCATAACTCTAATTGATGATCCTGCAGTTTTTATGTTTCGTGTCTGTTCCTTTTCTTCTTTAAACTCTACCCGCTGTTTTGTCAGTAATTCTTCAAAGTACTCTATCCATTGCTGGGGTGTTATTGTATTGATAATATCCTTGGTTCTTGTTTTCTTCATGTTTTTTAGTAATCTCCAACTTTCTGTGTTTCTTTTACCTTACCCAGATAAGTATTAATATGTACACAGTTTTATTCCTATGACTCGTTTTTTTTCTGTACTATCTTATTCCGTATTCTTGCTTGTGCTTCTTCATATATTTCTTTGTCTCGTGTCTTATTTGAACTTAGATACTGTTGGTATTTCTTCATTTTATCTGCTATGTCTTTCTCTATTTCTTGATCCCACCAATAAGGTGAGGGTCTTCTTTTATTTTTTTTCGTATTTGCCTAGGGCTTCAAATGCTGCACTGTGAATACTCTCTTTGAAATGGTGGTAATGCATTTCAAGTTTTTGAGAGTTCATACTACTCTGTAATTTTTGATCAAATCTCTTCATGTACAACCTCTTTACGCTTTGCTCTTCTAGATATTTTAGGTTGTATTTCTCAGGCACAATATTCTTTTGCGATGTTTCTGCCCGGGATTGTTTTCAGGAGGTACTTAGTGATCGCTACCACAGGTCGCTCCTCTATATGCTCTCACATCCTGGAATTTTATGTTCGAGCTTTGTTTTGCTATAGTCGATAATCGATTTTTGTTGTCTAGTTTCATTTTTTCATGTGTACTTATGCATTTCTTTATGCTGAAGGTAACCGTTTAGGATTTTAAAGTTATTTTGTTGGCATATTGCTATGAGCCTTTCTCCATTTTTATTCGTTACATTCTCTCCAAATTTTCCGACTACCTTGTCGTTGATTTTTCTTTCTTTTCGTCCGTTAAGGTCTTCCAACAATATTATTTCCCTTAAAGTTCCTACTTTTATGATTTGGTCACTAAAAATGAATCCTTTATATTCATGAGTTCGTCGTCGTTCACTCCATATATTCCCAAGATTATTATTTTCCTGCTGGGCAACATGCGATTAATGATACCACATGCAGATTGATCAAATCCATGCTAAAACACAGGACTCGACTTATTGCAGAAACCTATATAAAAGTAACCACAAAAAAATGAATCCAGTCGTGGATGAACTTCTGAGGATTGATTGTTGCTTTTATTATTTTAATTTTCATTAATATTTGTGAAAGTCATCTTTTTTGTTACTTTTCCTGATTCTTGACTCTTCCTTGTTGACCTGTTAACATTTGAGTGACCAAAGTAACTGAATTAGATTCCGCACACTGGCGATTGTTATCCAAGAGGCTGTTCCTTAAAACAAAAAGTTCATATTATACTTTTTTTGAATTCTGCATATAAATTTCATTTTCTTGTGTTAGTTCTGATTATAGACAGTAAGTCGTTCTTCAAAACGGGTAATTCTCTGATGTCTATCTCCAGTTTTTCAATTTGTTCCTTGGTTTCAAGTGCGTTCATATCATCAATTTTCCTTGATAGTTCCATGTTGTCCCCATTAAGATTGCATATCTTTGCCTTTCTTTTTTCTATCTTTCTCTTATAGCTTTCTTCGGCTGCAGAGACGTCATCCTCGAAGTCAACTGTACGTATTTTTAGTCGCCTTGAACGCTCTTCAACTTTGCCCTTTTCTTGCTTTAAAATATCATACTCTGATTTGGCAATGCTGGTCCCTTATAGATAGTTTATTCCATTTTCTCCATCTCTTATCTCAAGCCCATATTTTCAACTTTGGTGTTTTCTAGTTGTTAGTCATTACATTTGGAAAATATTCATCTTGTTG